TGGGCTGAGCTGTTACCTCTAGTGGGGTTCACTTTCAACAATGCACCAAGTGTGACTACTGGAATTTCTCCCTTCTTTGCTAACAAGGAATACCATCCAAACCTGTCTGTGGTCCCTGACCAAGGCTTCACCTCTCCAAGGGCTCATGACTATGTTGTTGAGCTCTCTGCCCTTCATGACTTCCTCTACTCCAAAATGTCCACTGCTCAGCAGTGCTATCAGGGTCTGGCAGATGCCAAACACACACCTCTGCCTGAGTTCAAGGTTGGAGAGCAGGCCTACATCAAAGCCAAGTACTTCCACCCCACTTGTCCTTCAGAAAAACTCTCTGAAAAGTACTTAGGTCCATTCACCATCTTGGCCAGGCCAGGTACACACTCCATCACCCTTAAGCTCCCTGACTCTATGTGCTCAGTACATCTGGTCTTCCATGTCTCACAACTGGAAGCCACAGTGGCTAACTCATTCTCAAACTGACAACAACCTCTGCCTCTGCCAGTGGATGTTGATGGTGACCTTGAGTATGAAGTGTCAGAGATACTCAACTCTAAGGTGTACCACCATTGCTGCCACTGCCAGCTCTTGTATCCAGTCCACTGGGCTGGTTATGAGAACACCAATGAAGAAACCTCTTGGTTGCTTGCAACTGAGCTAGATCATGCTTCCAACATACTCTCTGCTTTCCACAAATGCTATCTGCACAAACCTGGCCTGTATCAACCTCTGCTATAATACTCCACCCACATAACCTTCCTCTGCAGGCCAGCTCTGCCCTTACTGAATTACCCTAAGTACCTTAGAATTTTCTCCACTTGTCCACCTCAGTTCTCAGAGTCACAAAGTAAAAGTCACAAGTCTAATAAATTGTAGTAGTACAGAAATACAAAACTAAAAACAAAGACAAAAAAAAAAAAAACTACACTATTCTTCCATCACTTGTCCTCCACCCTCCACCACCTCCTGCACACTCAAACTTAGCCACCCTGGCATCACAATCATCCTCCCTCCTCCTCATCTCTGCCCACTCTGCCCAGGTGCAGTACAGCCCCCACTCATTGGCTGTCTGCTCCACAGCCACCACCACCTGCTCCACTGCCTCTGCCATCCTCTCAAAGGCCATTGCAGCAGTCTTGTGTGCTTCAGCCTGCCTCTCCATGGCCTGCAGCTGCCACTCCTGCTCCCACTCCACCCACTGCATTGCAGCCTTTATGAATGCCCTCCCTGCTGCACCACCTGTCCTGGGCATACTCAAGCCCAGTGTCTGTCTATATGCCCTCACTGTCCATTACAGGAAAGGATCTCTACCCCTGCACTGGTAGATGATCATACCCTCATTAGGAGCAAGGATAACAATTTATATGACAACAACTTTGACTTTGATGACTCTGCCATCAGCAACATGACTGGAGAGCCCTATGGAGAATAGTTGAAGTTGGGGACTTCAACACTTAGAAGGGGGATAATGTTATGTTTTGTCCCTGTTTTCTCTTGTTTCACTGTACATTTACCCTGTGTTCATTCTGATGGACTTCTTTTCCTTTTAGAGTCATCTTCTCTCTAATCCGACAGCTCTCTACTTCCACCACTCATGTTACTGCCTCTTTACATGCTTAGGACATGTGTCATCATTGCTCAACCAATGGCATAGTTAGCTCATTACATGTGGATGCCTCATGGTCCATTTCTCTGTAGTATTTAGACTGCCAGCTCAAGTCTTGGAACTCCAGACTTGAGCTGCTCAATCATATGCAGTGTTCTCAGAACTCCACCCTCAGTGTCCCTTATCAGGACCACTCTTACTGGCATTGCCCTAAATCCTCTGTCATTTACAGAGGTTACTGCAGCTGTTGCTCAGTAGAAACTCTTAGTCTGTGGCTGAGCTCCCCCCACACCTTGACTTCAGTCTTAGCATAACAGTGGGAGATGTGATCACTTATGCTCCAATTGCCCCAGCCCTTTGACACCTGACTCATGCCCTTCAATTCTGGAATTAATACTTCCCCATCTGGAAACACCATCCATCTGTTATCCAATCTTTTGGTCCAGTGATATCTCTGCTGAGATCTGACTTGCATCACCACCACCTAATGTGATATCAGTGTGCTTACTCAGTTTCTGTCATTCTGTGACTCATTCTGTGATATTTTGACTGTGTTTGACTTGATTGTTGTTGATACTTACCAATCCTCTTTGATTGCTTACTTTCATTTCTTGCTTATGTATCATGATTACTCACTGCTTACAGTCCTTACTCATTACTTACCAAGCATTTGTGCCTCATTTGTCATAGGCTGTGCTCTCCCTACAGTATATAAACCATCTGTACTTAGCTACAACAGAAGTGAATCAAGTCAGTCAGTTCAGTGCTTCTCAAGCATAACTCATCATTGACAGTTGAGGGCCATTTGGAAGAGTCTATCTGTCATCATTCATATCCTTGGTAGTGGAGGCTCCATCAAGGGTCTATCTACCTCCATTCATTATCCTGAACAATCATCTGTGCTTAGTCAGCACACACACATAGTCATCCCTCCACTCCTGCTTAACTCATTGATGACTTGTGCCAGGAGCACATTCCATTGAAGCTCATCACTCTAGTCCACATCCCCCATCCAGTCATCACTCACTCATCTACTCCTGTATAACTCATCAATGACTTGCACCAGGAGCACCTGCCATTGAATTTCCCCACTTTAGATTTTTCTGCCCTCCAAGTTCCACAGAGGTACACCACCACTCATACATTATTTGTCTTTGGTGTTGGTTTTGGTTGGTTTACACCACCTTTCCACACTTTGACTCACACCACCTGGCCAGTATACACCTGCTATAGCAATTCCCTTGTCTCCCTACACATCTACCCTTGGTACAGATTCAGTGGTCAATTGTGTAAATGATAGTGTAGTTCTCCCCTCACCTGTTAATCCTGAAGATTTGAGTCAGCAACACATCTGTTCATATTTATCCCTGCCAATCAAATACTTGGCATGTTCCTCTACAGATCAGAGACTTGGTGCAATGTTACCTTCAAGGGCAGTCCTGTTGTGATTCTGATTGTTGATCTCAAGTTATCCTTTCTACTATGAATTTTCTCCAGGTTGCCTCATGATCAACCATGTGAAGTTCTAATGTGGCTATGTGTTTAGCTTTTCAGTGTATCTTATCCATCAATTTCTGCTACTTCCTCCAGGTTATTACAAAGAGTTATGTCACATCTAAGTGCATGACTCATGTGGTTGCACTTCTGGTTTTCCCACAATGGCTTCCAACAAATGGGGAAAGGGAATGAGGTAGCCTTCTGCTGGAGATCTGCCATCATCCTTACAATTCTCTGTGCATTCACTCTCCAGCCTTTCCATCCCATTCCCTGACCCACCATGTCCAAGATACCTTCACCCAGAACTAGATTGGATATAAGCTCTAGCAACCTCAGTACATGTTTTTCTGACTAACTCCTGATGACTAACACATTTTGGCACAGGCACACTAATTACTCTGATCAGAAACCTTGAATTGAATGCAGCAGATGCTGAAACACTAGCAGGCACTTTGTTACTAAGATCTTGTGCTGAAGGTGAGTAGATTCTTCTGAAGTGACATTTCTGGACTGATCATATTGCAACCTTCATAGGGTCATCTGGCTTGCAACCCACATACTCCACAGCAGCATTATGCCCATTAGGTCTGGTGGTTTCAGGATTGTTGTCTCATGAAGAGTGTACACCTGCCACCTTATCCCCCTTGGTCCCCATTTACACCAAATTTCTTGCACTGCCACTATTGATACATCTAACACCACCTGAGTTGACTGATCCTGCCACTATTCTTGTCCACAGCCACCCAGATCATGAAGCAAGGGTTCCATATCTAGCAGATGACTGCATGCACACTCCCACTGGAATTTTTTTTACCATATCCATGTAAAGACTAACAGCTATTGTTTATTCTGTTGGCAAGTATTTCTTGCATCAGTCTCCAATTAATTACTATGAAGTATAAATCCTCAGGCTGTGTATTGCATATGGCAGCCTGACAGTGAGACAAGTCACAACTCAGCACTTTCCATCCTTTGTAAATTTTTACCATTCAAGCTCTACTACTTAGCAGTGGAACACTTGGAGCATCTCTCTGCTAAATGTCATAGGGCTTGGTGTGCTTGACAGCCCCTGAAGGCTTGGAGTCTTCAAGGGTGGTCTTGGTATTGATCCAGTGATCAGTTGCACAGATGACAATGACCCTCATCACTCAGTATTGAAGATTCATTCCAGCAACAACTTTGCCCAAAGGATGTTGTACCTCTGACATTTGGTCTACATTATTTGCCTAATTTGGCCATCAATCACATGAAAGGGACTGTGTCTATTGGACTCTGTTGGCCCTGCTCTCATCAGTGACTGCCCTTAGGGGCTTGAACGATTCATTTTCCATCTACTAAATAAAATATCAAATGCTCTAGTAGGGAGATTACATTCCCTACAACAAGACCAGTACCAAGTCTATGTTGTGGAGAACTTTCATCCATCACAACTCATCTTCACTGATGAGTCAGCATGTAATTGAATGACAACAAAGCAACAATCAGCATGGTCACCACTTGGAACCTGTGCACAGCAACAAGACTATTTTGTGTGTGGCCATTGGTAAGTTACAACTCAATTTCAAGAGCCTTCTTTTCTATTTCATTTCCTCCAGATACTTGGTTCTCCCTGCAATATCACTTGATGGGATCCTTCACCTCAACATTCAGGATCACGCCTATACTGGTGCTATGTTCAACCAATTTATTGATCTTTTACTTGACAACATGAATCCCTATCCACAGAAGAACTCAGTCATTGTCATGGATAATGCTAGTATCCATAAATCCCCTCAGCTTCAAGGTATGACTGAGGGAAGGTGCATTATCACTGTGCCTATGTTTTCTCACACAGGTCCTGATGACTCCTTGTAGAGGGATGAGACCTTTATACTCACCCCCATATTCTCTTGACTTCAACTGAATAGAGGAGGATTTTTCTGCCATGAAGGCTTGGATTCAGTGGAACTCTGATTATGCAAGAAGTGAATTGTCAGGTGAAGCCACTTGTGACCCCTATCAGTTTCTCATTCATGCTGCATTCAATGCAATTACTTTGGAAAAGATTCATGGATGGTACACTGACTGTGGTTACTAAGGTGTAGTAGAATTACAAGTGTATGACTAATGGTAGCTATATTATGAGTCTCGAAACCCTTTGAAGTCTGTACTCAGACTCTACACTTCATGTACTGCTAAAAGTACTATAGTATCTAAGGTACAACATTTCTGATAATGACAAAGTTGATAAATTTCTGGAGAGTGTCTATACAATGATGAGCTGTTTGGGTCCTCATTCTCCTTGTCACTATCACTAGAATTAGCCATTCTTGCTTTACCTTTCCTTGTACAATGGGCAAGGTGATGAGCTACAGCAATAAAAGGTCTAACAGCACCTAGTGGCATACCAACAATGTCAACAAAAAAGCCTTCCAAAATTCCATCAACAGTGTTGACATAGGCAACACCTTGTGAGATACAGTGGCTCAAAAAAGTGTCCCAATGTTGGGTGATTTTTGAAAGAGTTGAGATTTATGAAAGAGCCAATAGGAATTAGTTCAAACTCCTGCAGGACCGAAATTGGTACTCACTGTTGCCTTTACAAAGAGGGCTTTTGTATGTAATTTGGTTGACATGGCACCAGGATATAACCATGTTAAAATGCCATGTCATTGGGACACTTTTTTGAGCATGATGTTGTCAGTCATTATTTAGTAAATAACATAAAGATTTGACAACTTCTGAGCGATTTTGTGCTTCAACCCTGACTGATTATGTAATGTACATAATCCTGAGCCATAAAAATGGCTTGGGTCCCACTCAGCTAACCCTACTTCACCATGAAATGCATTCTTGCCTCTGCTAGAGCAAATATCCACCTTCTTTCTGAATCTGGCCTTTCTGCTCATCAAATCTCCTCAACAATTGGTCAGGGGAGCTCTACTGTGGCCAGGGTCATCAAAGAGTTCCAGCTAGATTAAGGAAAACCTTGAAAAAAGAAATCCTTACCAGCCTTCTTCTACTGGCAGAGGAGAATAGTCTCTAGTATGACCTCTGGAAGAGCTGAAAATGCTGTCCAGGCTACCCATATAATGTGTGTGGCCCTTTCCTCTCCTGTCACTTTCCAAACTGTTTGCAGTGTGCTCAATTCTGCATCCCTGAAGGTGATAGAACCTGTTCTTTGGGAGGGTTTTTGCAAGCTACAACACTCAAAGATGAGTGCTGAGGGTTGGGGGTGCTCCTGACGAAGAGGGAGCAAGAATGTGATAGAAAGCGATAGGGTAGACTGCTGTCAGCCTACAGAAGGATGGATGGTGACTTAATTTGATGTCCTAAGCTGTACTGAGCTCAGGGAGGGCTTGGAGCGAAGTATATGGATGATAGATGAAGATAAGCGAAGTAGATGATAGCTAGACCCTTAATAAAGTCTCAACTATCGAAGCTGATGAATGATTTACTGAGAGATGATAAATTGCGAGCAAGAGGGGCTCTCTGATGTCTTCTTTTTTTTTTTTTGCTATCTAAGTACAGTGATTTATATACAGTACAGGGGCGTTGCCTATGGAAAACAAGGTGCAAACACTTGGTAAGTGATTGGTAACTGATGAGTAAGGAATGTAAGCGATGGGTAATCATCTTGGAAAGCATTGGTAAGCATTGGTAAGGATAAGTAAGCCAAAAAGCGAAGAATCAGTAAGCAAAGTCAAAGGATTGGTAAGCATTGGCAATAGGTGAGTCAAAGACAGTCAGAATGTCACAGTATGAGTCAAGTAACATCAGGAACCTGGGATAGTGCACTGGAATCGCATTAGGGGGAGGCTGTGCATGTCACATCTCGAAGAGATTGCTTCTAGGCCAAAGTGGGATGACAGAGAGGCAGCGCTGATCTGATGCCTGATATAGTACATCCAAAAGTGGACAGGGTGAGTCAGATGTCAACAGGGGTCAAGCTTTGGGGGTCTGTGGGGTGACAGGAGCATAGGGGATCGCAACTTTCCCCCCCAAACCATCCTCTCAGTGAAGCAAATAAAAACTTCATGAATGAGGCTCTGTTGGAAGAGAGGATGAAGGGGGAGCATCTTCTGCTGTATCTTGCAACAAGGAGGCAAGATGTGCATCATACTCGTCATGGATGTGATCAGGGAGAGTGGAGAACAGTAGATTATACTGTAGCTGTCACAATTTTGGAAGAATGATGGACGAGACTGGTATGAAGACTGTTGCAGGGGGCAGGGAGGAAGGATCCATATGCTTCTTGGACCGGAGAGACTGAAACGACCACATAAGACCTCTCCAAGCGAATGACAGACCTGAGGTGACCAAAGAATGTCCTCCTGGAGGTCATACTGACAAAAAGAACACACTGTCCAAGCTGGATGGGCTGAGAGGGGGCAGATGAGGGTGGGATGTACCAGGACACTTCAGGATGGAAGCTGGTAGGAACTCCTGGTAGATATATGTAGCCATGGTTCCTAGCAAAGGGGACAAGCGAAATGACTGATGTGGAGGCAGCCATATCAGAAGAATTAGCAAAATGAGCATCTTTTGGAGGGAGTGCTGTAGAAACAGTGTGGAGTGTGCAAATCCTTTCCAATCTTGGAAGGTATGATCTCGTGGCTGAGCACTACAAGCGAGTGTGGGAATGGTTTCGGTGTCTGCAGAACCAGCAGAGATATGTTCGAAAACTGGAATGCCATACATGGGCACTTAAGAATTTTATTGGCACTTAACCTGCCTCCTCCTTTTTCTTTGGCATTGACAACCTGTTCTTGTGCGAGGGATGACTGCCGACATTGCTGGCTGTCCTTCTTCACATGAGGGCTATGGTCTTCACCTCCATTCATCAGCTACATCCATGTCCACCTCACCAAACACCTTTGGTGTGTGACAACGGCTAATTCAAGACTACCGCTATCTTAATTCGTTCACCATCCCAGACGCACACCCACTACCAAACATGCAAGCGCTGTTTGATGAGTTGGTTGAGTCAAAGTACTATGCAAAGTTCAATATTCAATGGGGTTTTACGAACCTCAGGGTAAAAGAAGGAGATGAGTGGAAAGGGGCGTTTATCATGCCCAGAGGGCTGTTCGAACCCACGGTAATGTTCTTTGGACAATGCAACTCACCCCCTTCTTTTCAGAGATATATGGATCAGACTTTTGAGTCCCAATGAGGAAAACAGGTAGGGTACATGGATGATGTAGCGATCCATGGAAAAACCAAAGAAGAACTCCGAACTCATGTTCATGAGTTCCTAACCATTTGTCAGAAGGAAGGTTTGCACCTCAAGATTAGCAAATGTGTCTTCGAGGCTGAAGAAATTGAATTCCTCAGAATGATTATAGGAAAAGGGCATATGGAGACTTCTCCAATGAAGACCAATGCCATTAGTACTTGGGAAGCCCCTGACAATCTTACCAGGCTTCATTGGTTCCTTGGGTTCTGCAATTTCTACCACAAATTCATCCCTTCCTTCTCAAGCATCACTTGTCCCCTCCACGACCTCACCAAGAAAGGAGTGTCCTATCAGTGGACTTCCGAATGCAACACTGTGCTCAAGCAACTCAAGTCTTTGTTATGCTCCACTCCTGTCCTCACCATCCCAGACTTCTCGAAGCCCTTCGCACTCTTCACAGACACTTCCAAGCTGGGAACTGGTGCAGTACTCACTCAAAAAGGAGCTGACAATGAGTGGCACCCGTGTTCTTACCTGTCTCAGTCACTTGTCGGTGCAGAACAGCGCTACCAGGTCTATGATCTGGAAATGCTCGCTGTTATCCAGGCACTCAAAACTTTCTGCCCCTATCTCTTATCCCCCGTCAAACTGACTGTGGTCTTCACTGACCACAAAAATTTGGAGTATTACCAGGAACTGCAACAACTCACTCCCCACCAAGCCTGTTGGGCTGCAACCATGCAGTCCTACCCTATCTGCTTCTCTTGGCAGGCGGGTCATCTTCAAGTTCCCACTGACTCCCTTTCATGCAAGAGCGAGCCTGCCGAGCCTGCCCCTGTTGCCACAGTCCTCCTGCCAGACCTTTGGCTTTCGGAGGGGGTGGGTCCCCAAGTTTGCCTCGTTTCACCCTCTCTTTCTGTTACAAAATTACAAAAAAATCTAAAAATAAACTGACTCTGCAAGATCGGACGGTTACCGGCATGGATAACACATTCCAAGTCAAACTCCAAGCCATATTCCCACCCATATGAGGAAAACTCAAAGGGGAATAGGCTGCCTGATGCTTGCCCTTGTGAGGAAATAACCAAAGGAGCCAGGGAAGTATATGCGACCTCTGCAGACCTGTACAAATGCATCAAGAACGATACATCAAAAGGTTCATCAGGGCCAGAACCCATTGTAAATATCACCACTGCAGATGATGGAACAAAACGGTACAGGACAACCCGACTATACATTCCCCCTGATCATCGACAACACTGCATGCATTCCTATCATGATCATGAGTCCACTGGACACCCAGGACAAAAAGCAATGTTCACAAAGATGAGAAAGGAAGTCTGGTGGGAGGGTATGGGAAAAGACATCAAGGCTTATGTTGTAGGATGCCCGATGTGCCAAACTATGAAAGTCATAACACACCCACCAACTCCCCCAGTCATCCCACACAAAACCCCCAAGGTCGCATTCCCGTTCCAACAAATATCTATGGATCCCACCACAGATCTCCCCATCTCGGGAGAAGCAAAGTACAATTCGATTCTCACAGTTGTTGATCAGGGCCTGACAAAGGCCGCCCTGTTTGTTCCATGTCACAAAACTATTGACTCCATTGGGATCACCTGTCTATTCCATCAGTTCATTTATTCCCATTATGGAATTCCAGAGTCAGTAATCTCAGATCAAGGACCCCAGTTTGCTTCTTCCTTCACAAAGGAGCTCTACAAAGTGATAGGGGTCAAGATGAAACTCTCTACCAGATACCACCCTCAGACCAACAGAGAGAGTGAACGGGTAAATCAGGAGGTAGAGGGATACCTGCAGTTGTATTGCACTGAATCACCGAACTCTTGGTCAAGTAAACTTCCATCCACAGAGTTCACCCACAATTTGCACGTCCACTCCATCCATCAAATGACACCGTTTTCCCTCCTCCTTGGATATGACCCTTCACCATACCCAGAGGTTAGGATCACCTTGGTCCCCTCGGTAGACGAAAGATTGGAAAGGCTGGCCTTGAACCATGATGTTGCCATCCTTGCACACAAGAAAGCACAGGACCTGACGCATTCACACTCAAAAGGGTCTTATGTCATGCCAAAGGTTGGAGATAACATACTCCTGGATCAAGAACCAGTGTGACAAGATTGTGCCCCAATGTCTCAGACCTTTCAAGGTGACTCAGGTTGTCTCTCTGGTTGCCTTCTGATTGGACCTTCCACCCACCTGGAAGGTACATCCGGTGTTCCATGCATCCCACATCTTTCTGTTTGTCAAAAATGATACATATGGAGCTGTGCCTGCAGCACCTATGCTGGAATTGGTCAATGATGAAATAGAGTGGGAGGTGGAGTCAATACTAAATCACAGAGTTGATGGTCACAAAGGTAAGTGATGGTACCTGGTCAAGTGGAAAGGGTTCCCACATTCATCCAATACGTGGGAACCCGAGGAACACATAAAAGACCATGCCTCTGAGGCACTAGACCAGTACAAGTTCGCTTGCCATCTCAGAAATTAAATGGACTCCCCTCGCTCTGTCAATACTGAAAATGACTATGCCGACCTCCCCCTCCCCACAGAATCCATTCACAACACCAACTACAATGGGCTCATTCCCCCCATCAATGTCTATGCCCCAACCTCACCTCCAACATCCCCCACCGGCTTTTATGTCTCCAGGTTCTCCTCACCCATCTCTCAACCCTGTCCATTATCACCCCCTGTCCCCAGGGCTCGTGGACCATGTCCACTCTTGGGGGTCTCAATCAAACACGTCCCCACAACTTCAGCCAGAGTCCCCCATGGTGGGGACAGTAACCGAAAGGGAAAGGGTAAGGCATGCACTGACAATGACCCTGATAGTCCAACAGCCCCCTCCAGTAGCACCAATGCTGCCAAACCTACCAACTTACACACCGCCTTCACTACCTACTCTGACAGCGCTCAATGCAGAGCCCTCGACCTCCTTGTGGCAGCCGCCTCTGCCAGGATTGACCAGCAAAGATTACCAGTCACAGCAAGTGACTACCTGGACATTGTTAGGGCACTTGACGTCTTCCATGATGGGGATGACATTGACAGGTGCTCACCAGAACAGGTTATGTATTTTGGGTTGCTGTCTCAAATCTACAGAGTGTCAGACATGATCAATGGGTTGGTCTCAAAGGTCTGCACCCGGAAGCTTAGCAGAACTGCGCCACTGTCAGAGGTCATCATGATCGGCATGCTGGAAGAAGCTTCATCAGCTCTTACCGAAGCTGTCACCAGAGGAGCCTATCATCACCTCAGGAACCAGCAGATCAGCAAGTTCTTAGCACCACTGGCTTCTCAGATTCTTGATCGCATCAAACCAAAGCAAGAGGAACCATTGGCTTTGCGGAAGAAGGCTGTGATTATGGATCAGGAGAAGGAAAAGGAGTGGTGTGCCATCAAGTTAGGGTATGTCGACTCTGGAGAGCTTTTTAAAGAGGTTGGTGCTCGACTCAGGTACTGGGACTCACAACTCCTCCTGGGAGGTTCTGCTTCAGGATGCATCAGTGGGCTGGAATGCACAAGCAGTATCATAATGCCATCCACTCCACCAACGCTATCCCTTCAACTCCCTTCATCCCTGTACCTTCTGATCAACTTCAGTTCTACCTCAGAGGGCAGTCCCCCATCCTGCCTGACCATGTCCTCTACCAGCACACCTGCTACCAGTGCTGTTACCTGGTCCATTGGTCTTGCTGCAATGGACATGGCTCCCACTATACTCTGGCCCTCAAGGAACTGCCATCTCTGTCACCTCCATCACCCATCACTGACCAGACACGTTCCCATGTCTATGCTGCTTGCTGACCCCTATCCATATGCCCTCCAAACACGACTTCTGGCCCGTCCTCAAGGGTCTGAGGACCTTAGAGGGGGGGTGATGTTATGCTTCCATCAGGGGTCTTTCCTTTTTCGACTTCTTGCAGTCACATGCATCATGTGCCTCATTGTGTCCCTCATGACCTGTCACTGTCCTAGGGGCTTGAATGCTCCAGGGAACATTTGGATCTCCTGCTGTCAAGGTATTTCCAATACCTGTCAAGACCACATTGCCACTGTGATCCGGTATTCCACCACCCTCTCTGATGGACAACTTGTTTACTTCTTGTTCCGTTGACTCATTTCTGACTCGTCTTTATTGCTCACATGTTGTACTATAGTTCCAGTGTCAGGCTCCTTGCTGCACATTGATTGTGCCAGCCGGTATAGCCTTCATTGCCTCCCTACCCCCATCTTTGACACCGTATGACTCCTGTTTATTTGACTGATGGGATTGTTGACTACTGCAGATACATGTCACAATGTGTTGGTCGCGACTGCTATGGTACTCATGCTTAGGAGTATATAATCCTACATACTTCGTCCTGTATCTGCAGTTTTTCAATAGCTTGCAACTGAGCTTCATCCCTTCGCTCTATCCTTGTTCTCTCTCTGTGCAAACAACCTTAGGGACTCGCCAGCAGACAGAACCTCTGTCAGATCATTGCGATAACTCAGCCATAGGGGTTACAACAAGTTCAGCCTGTAGTCTCCCCCTCATGTGCTTCATGCCTATTCCATTTGAAGAAGTCACTGTGCTCAGGCATAACAGTAGTAAATTGAGCCAATATCCAGCACATGGAAAGTGACACTGGAGCAGATCATGGTACTCATCAGTAGAAGGGGTGTCCTGAGAGCTGCTGTTCAAGTGCAACATGTTGACAATAGAGATCACTCACCATAACCTGTAGCTTTATACTGTCACACCAGCAGGATCATAGGTGCCAATCACCAATGCATGGTCCAAGAAGAGTCCTGTGACCACAATCATTGTCAGTGTATGGATCATCAAGCAGAACAAAGTGACACAAGCATTGCAGCATGCCAGAACTGCATAGATCACAGGGGAAAGAGAATTGATGTCACTGAAAAATGGTCAAATGGAACAGTGGCCATCACCATCATCCAAATTGTATGATGGACAATGGCAAGATGGCAAGATTTGATGGCAGGAAGCCAAGTGCTTGAAGCACAGTGGGTTGGAGGCACTGCAGCACAGCATGTGCTCTTCTTGGTTCATTTTTGGTAATTGCAGACACATGATCTAATGTCATTATTTGGCTACATTTCAAAACTAAACAAAAGTGCTCATGTATGTGTTGGTCAATTCTGGTCTATTGATTTGGAACCTGCTGTAACATAGTCTATTAAGGTAGAAAACTGAAGCATGTGAGTGCAAATGCCATCAGAGATTGAAATGGTGGACAAACACAGGATCAGGGAAGTTCCAACCCATTGCTCAGGGAGTTAGTTCTAATCCCCCAGATGGCAACCCTATCAATGACATCCACCTTGTCATTTAGCCCTATGTCAACCAGAAGTCCCTTGTTTTGTATCCAATGCCACTTTGATGGTGGACATGTCAAAGAAGGGGTGACTCAAGCTTACATGACACTGCACATCTGCCAAGGTCAAGTTCAGAATAATCAAAAAACATCACTGAACCTTGCCTTCCACAGCAGTCTGCCATTGATGCCTGCACCCAGCTCACAGGTTCAAAACCACATACATATCTGAATGCAAGGAAATCACACTTGCTTATTTTTAAAAAAAAAACCAACACACAAGAGGGAAACTACATCAGTAAACCACTTTGTGTGCTGGTAGTCCTAGGGAATCTGTCCAGTGCTGGACAGCTCTGGACAGCTCTGGCCAGCAAAAGTGATTTACCGATGTAGAATAAGATTAAGGCAACCCTTGGTGTAGCAGCTACCATAAGAAGTGCCCCACTTTCATTGACCAGCTCAGTGAAGGTTATCCACTGTATGATACAGTTATGTGGCAAACTTCATATGACTTTCCTGGATGCCTCTGCCCAATGCTTCCATGAACCTCTGTCTTGCTGCAATATCCAATTCATACTGGAGCAACTTCTCATAGGCTTCTTCATGTGTACTAACATACTCCTAGCACATGAGGACAAAGATGCAAGAATCATAACGATGTTGGTATTGCACAGATAATCTATAAAACATATATCAAAGGGTATGAATGCAAGTGCCATTAGGGATGGTAACAGGGAACAAACATAAGATTTGGAGAGTTCCAGCCTGTTGCTTAGGGGTTAAATGTGTCATCCACCTATCCACCTTACAAATGACAGTATTCACAGTTGTTACCTTTCAATGCCAGGACGAGTAGGGGTAATGTAAAAGGAACAGTCCTTTGCAGAGGAAGACCTAACCCAGTGCCAGCCAAGACCAAGTAAAGCATGACTCGCAATCCGAGACCAGTTTACATAAGCAACTGCCGGCCCGAGTCTGCCGGGCTGCATTATCATCCTGAGATGCACTCAGCCTCGTGTCTACCGCCTGGCCTGATAGGCTTAAACGGTTTCCTTCGACCACCCGCCACCAGGCAACCCTGTGCCAAGGCTCACATCGACCTCCAACCATGTCCGTAGCTCAGCCTCTGCGAATCTCATGTACGACGTTCGAAATTTCCATTCCCCAAGATTTTGAAGACTGACGCCGATGAGGCAGATATTGAGCTGCAGAATGGGGAGGATAATATTGAATTTATCGAGTTAATCCTCCCCGGTTGTCGACGCAGTATTCGATCACAGAGTAAAAGCCTCTTTCGGGAAGACTTCCCTCAGCCTCTGTAAGAGTGTCCGTTTAACATGCTTACCGCTCCTGAAGTTCTTCGTACCCAATAGTACCGTTGAAGGCGAAGCCCTCTCTTTATCCGTTCATAGGAAAACGTGGTATTCTAAATTCATTCCGGCCGTTAAGGTCGTCCGAATCAAAGTCAAGGATGTGCTGACTAATTCGCCGGAGCAGAGTAAGTCAGAGGATGAACTAGCCCCTTCTTCCGTGTTCCATTTAAATGCTCGTAGAGTTTCAAGTGGCGCGCAACAAGTTGGACATCACCATTGGACTCTCACCCAGTAGCACCCCGGTCGTACGTGCAATTGGATGGAGCCTCTAAGGTTCTGATGGAGCATCTACAGAATGTAATTTCTGCGCCTCCGAACACTGGTGCCCTTCGTCCTACCACTGAGGACCTCCTTAATGAGTGCCCTCGGTGAGTATGTTCAACCTACCACTGCACAAATATCTCACATTTCTACGCTAGTCTTCGGGTATTGGTAATCGGGCAGGTAGTGAACACTGGCCGGCGCCACAGAGTTTATTTTTAACGACGATATCATTTCAGTCTGGTGTCGGGAAATCTACACTGATTGGCCAAGCCTTTGGAATCGAGCAGGCAGTTGAGTAACCGAGAACATGTGCATGTTCTTTATTCATGAAAGTTCCCAGGTCGCTGAGGATGACAAGCCGGGAGAAGCCGATATTAAGAAAGAACTTATCTCGCCGCAGAACGACCGGTTTGTCTTACATGACAGCAAGGGCTTCGAACCGGGGGAACGCAACAACTATAGCGATGTGAAGACGTTCGTAGAAAACCGTAAACATCAGCCACATATCAAAGATCAATTGCATGCGGTCTGGTAAGCCAATCCAAGATGATCATGAAGACCCTGACGGACGGTTATGCCATAGGCTGTGCTTCCGAACGCCCCTCGTACATCAAGGCGAACGGCTTATGGAAAAAAGCGCAGAGATACTCTTGCGAGAAGATATGGGTGTTATCGGGGACAGTAAGCAAATCAGCACTTTTGTCATATCTTCCAACCCCTTGACTGCCGTTAGTTCCCACCATAGTGGTATTCACGCAATATGACAGGCTTCTGGTCAGCTTGCAACTGCAGAGAGTTGCCAACCTTGGCTTAGCTGCAGAAGAGTACTTAGAAAAGCATTGCATCAAGCCCATCCAAGAGTTCACTGCAAACCCAAACCTAGCACATCTCACAGTTAGCTGCGGTAGGTTTAATTCACTTTGACTTCGCTCCACGGTCCAACTGCTATGTTGTTAGAGGGCGGCGAGCATAAACAAGGGATTAAGGAACTGATTGAACTCACCCATGAGAAGGTCATCGCGACTTTTGGGTCCCAGCTGGGCACACCATCCCCAGTTTCGGTCGTGACCCAAATGGCACAGAGAGTCTCGCCAAGGTTGAAAATTGAGGGATCGATAACGTAGGTTGCGCCCACTTGTTTCCATACCACGACCTGAAGTCGTATTCTCATATAGTGTTGGCAAGCAGAGTAAGCAACCGCGTGTGGTTGGCAACTATGTGAAACATTGATACCCATGTTTTGAAGGATATTGGAGTGCACTGACTTCTGGTGCCAATTTTGGCAATCATACGATTCTTGAATGCCTTGCTGTTATTCATACTGACATTGTGTCCGTCTGGAATTTCAATGACCCATCTCAAGTGAGTGTCTCAATCACCGCCGCAGTGATCTAGTAAATGACGCCTGTCCCGTAGTATCTCTATAGCACTGAATTTCGAGAACTGATGATAAACCTAGTGGGGACCATTGATTCGTCGACGCCGCGTCTCCCTCGCGCTGATAGTACCAAAAACACATGCGAGTAAGTGTTACTAGTGTAAGCCGCCACTACATCACACTTATGAGGAGTCACACACCAAGGTCAGGAGCTCCCATCTTGCTTTCTCTGCCTATAATTCTGCCGTTTAAAGCGGGACTGGGTCTTGTACAATGGGTTCACGAGATATATCAGCGACTGTGGGTGACATTACGTTCGGTATTTCCTACGAGTAAACTCTCTCCTTAGACCGGACGTGCATCGCAAGTTCATGGCTTATGTTGTCGATCTGGTCCACATCTTGGAGATATTGTTCGCACTCACTGCCAATAACAACGAAAAGAAGCTTTCCCGTGGAAGCCATTGGTTTGGCTCTCAACGCATACTATCAGTCAGCAATACAGCGCGAGGCTCGCGAGCAGATCATGAGTCGAGACTATATAATCCCGGGTCGCGACGCCGTCCTCGACGAGATCGTTTCTTTACTTGGGATGAGTGTGGTTGACGACCGAGGCATTACCAGGGACCTTGCCAATATTCGATCCTGGGGATCTGGAGCGAGACGATAAGTGGTTTACCGTTGCTGACAATTCGCACCCGTTCAATCGTTGAGCTACTCTTTATTGAACTACGAGGTTCTTCTCTTTCACTGTTATAGTCGCATTTTGTAGTTGTACTACGACATACTTGGAGTGCATATGATCTAGCAGATTTACCCAGCCCTTTGTCCCTGACAGCAAGCTCGCGAGTGTAACCACAAGATGGTCCCGAACGGTGCGGCCAAGGTGGCAACCTTGGGTACCAATAAAGTACCCAATGGTTTGTGTAATCTCGGTTCCAGATCAAAACTCACGTCCCGTTGTACAGGATGAATATGGGCGCTTCGATCAACGGACCATTCTGTGGGCTGAGATCCAGCATCTGGACGGAGTTTCCCGTCGGTGTAAGTGTGTCCGCCTCCATCAAGTGCAGCATAGTTGGCGTGGAGTATTATTCACTTGCATTTCCACGGGACCTCGCCCGCCAAGGCTGCTCCCGTCGACTTTGTAAACAATATAGAATTGGCCATCGACGTCCTGGAACCCAGCTAACTCAATGGAACTACCGCACAGTGTCTGGCAAGCAATGGGTTGAACCTGTGGTGTGTAGGGACCCACAGGGTTTGTTGAAGTCGCAGATCCAGCGCAGTGTGTCCTGCGAGGGAGACTCGGCAGCATAGTCTGCATGAAAGTACGTGAGCATCTGGTGCGACGACGGGAAAAGGTGTCCCGTGCACATGACGAAGGTGCCATTTCCTCGGTCGATAACGTCCAGTGCCCTTGGAAAACCGACAGTTGCCCACAGACCAACGTCCGGGAGAGCATCCACCCCATATAGCAGTGTCCACATCGACGTCCTTCTATTAGCATATGATGTTGCAACTTGTATATCAATGTTGCCGGAGCTAATTGCATACGTGTATGTTACACTGGGTGTGACAAGGATGGCTGGGTCTGGGAAGTTCGCGCTGATAACTAGGTCATAAACAGTCGCACGGACGCAGCTGAAACAGATACACGAGAGGACGATTAGATTGAGAAGACGTTTTCGAAGCAACACGCACGAAGGTTGCTAGTTGTTGAGCTGCTCCGCAACCATTATAACGGTTCCTGTTGCACTGCAACGGGATAATGTAAGATACAGGGCAACGTAATTCCCCTCCGCCATCGCGTATCGATGGAGTACTTATATATGAGTACACGTCCTAAATTTCAGGTTGGAAGAATGACTGAAAACTTGGTTACAACTTGAAATGTTGTGTTGGGCTGCCTGGAAGACGCATTTGAACAATGTCTTATACCGCTTACTGTGCGCCTGCTCGGTCCAATTGAGGTGTTTTGTAGCAAGCCTTCGATCTTGCCCTATCTCGAAGCTGTGCCCAGAAACACGTTGATACCACCGGCGCTCCACGGATATCAACAGACGCCGCATCACAGCTTTGTCCTTCAACGCTTAACCTTGGCCTCAATCACTAGAGACAGTGGGTAGCATACATGCTCGATCAGATTGTAGAGGAAAGCCTTCTCCATACGGACCTAGCAGACAGTGGGAAGAGGAATGCAATCTCGAGTCTCAGACCGACTTTATCAGCCAACGAACTTCAAAGGACCTACTTTCTCTATGTTTGAGGAGCACGCAAGCACGATGTGGATGTTTTGACCTGCCAGTAGTTCAGTGATAGACATGAGTGGTGAATCTGGGTAAAGGATTAAAACTCCGTCATTACCCAAGTCCTATATCTTCCCTCCCTCTGGCATTGATCCCGCAACCCGAAGCAATGGCGTGAAGTTTGCGAGCGTGACCGGCGACGGGCCCAGCCTGTCTGTAATACTTGCAAGTACGCTGATGGCGTAGTGGATTGACCGGGACTAATATTAAGACAGCTCTGGGACTGTACAAGTCACCATCGGTGACGCCAGGCTCTTCGACGACGGGCTCGGCGAAGATCATCCACAGTACGATACCGTTCCGCTGCAAACTTCATATGACTGTCCTGGATGCCTCTACCAAATATTTCCACGAATCTCCGTTTTGCCACCCTATCCGATTCGGACTCGTACAACTTCTCTTGCATTTCTTCATGCGAACTAACATAGGCGAAGCGCGTGAGCAGCAGGAAGGTGCAAGTATCGCAACCGACACTGGCATCACGAAGAAAGTCTGTAAGGTAGATATCGAAGGATATGAGCGCGCAAGTGCCAATGGAGATTGTAACGGTGAACGGTGAACAAACATATGATTGGAGGTGTTCCAGCTCGTTGCTCCGGCGTTAGACGTATCTTCCATCTATCAGCCATAATAACAGCGGGATTTACAGTTGTGACCTCTCGTCCCTCCGAGTCTGAGTCTGAGTCGTCGGACTCTTTTGGGTCGACCAGAAGTTCGTTACATCTTGGCTGGCTCTTCCGAACATCCAACGGTCAGGACAGCTTTACGGAGGAAAACAGTAGAAGTGGCAATGAAAGGAAGCAGACCAAGTCAATGTTGCTTTGCTTATAATGCAAATAAGCCCAGCCCCGAAACGGGTGATACAACAGCGGAAGTGAAGCTGCGACCGCGAAAACAGACGGTGCGGTCACGGCTGAGTCAGGACCCCGTCACAGCGTGACGGATCCGAAACGGGTACGGTGGGAACGAGCGGGCTGTCACCCCAGCGACCTAAACGGCCATCGTGTGCAGGCATGCCGACGCACAGACTCCCTGCGGGCAATCGGATTGCCTGTTCCCTCAGCCCCTCCCTGAGCCCTTCCATCCAGGCCTCTGATCGATGGCATCTGCAAGTGATGCGAGTAACAGTGAGGAGTTTCGCTGACTGGCGATGCCCTCCCTAACACTGTGGATGGAGTCCTCGGTGTACAGCAACACCATCGAGTCCATCGGCAAGGCCAGATCGAAGTACTCACCAAGACAGAGATGGGGACCGGCAGTGAAGAGACTGAGGGCACCATTGCAGTGAAGACACTGGTGAGATCGTGACGGAGCAAGTATTTGGAGTGTGAGGTGAGAGGTAGGGGGTAGGGTCGATGGACAGAGGTTAAATGGATGGTCATGAGTGGTCCTCGCTTATAAGCCCCTCGATCGACCTCTCATGAAGCCGGCATACGCTGCGTGTTATATCTTATGCTTCGATGTTAGGTGTCGAAGCCGGCGATGTGTCATACAACTTGGCTTTACATCGGCCATTTGTGGTGAGTATGCACTATGCTCAGCTGTCACGTCGCAGGATCGGAACGTCTTTTTTCACAAAAGAATGGTCCAGTGGGTGGGTTGTGGTGGTCGTGCTTTCCCTGCCAACTCAGGGTGTTCCTTCGAGGAGTCTCAGCGCTTCACGGAAAAAATACGGTCCTGGAGGAATCAAACTACAGTCCCTGCTGGAAAAAAATATGGTCCTGGGTGGGTTCTGAGTGCTGTTTGGTGTCGTACAAGACACTGTGTTCGTGTTACTGGCTTGTCTAGCTATGACTAACGATGATTGGAAATTCACTGCATATATAGGAGGCCATCAACTCTCACAGCTTTCCCCATTTCCTCCAACAAACCAACATGTCCGAGTGAGCCTTCGATAGCTATCCTGGACTGTGTCATGCTGTATCTCCGTCCGAGGCATTGCCCCTCAAACTCCTTGATGTTTCGTATGACATGACCTCCGAACAACAAACTCTACCCGGTCCCATCTGTGGCAGCATCGACACCAACAACGAATTCTCTGCATTTCAAGCCACGCTACTAGATGCATCGAAGGGGGTGATGGAGGGAACGGATGCAGAATATAAACAGTCTGTTTGTCCTGTTTGCTTTGCAAAACAAGATTACTCAAACAACTTAATCCCCATAGCCTCATGCAGCAGTGTCAGAGATTCCTTGTGGGCATGGGATGGTTGCGAGGTGATGAGTCGTTCTATTCCAACCAACCCCATCGTGATGTGCCGACATTCATCATCGCCTGGATTATGAATGCATATCCCCTGTCTCTCCTGTTTATTATCACTGCCTCAAAACTGATGAAAATGATGTTGACTCTGGCAGGTGTGATTCAATTACACTGAAGGGCACGAGTAAACTGCCATCTGAGGAATGAGGCACTTATGGCCATGTGCAGAAGATGAGGGCAGCAATGACCTATGCCTTTGGGCGGTTACATGGGCTCGGTGATATGCCCTGGCATCAGTCAGAGGTACCAGGGAATTCCACCATGCTGGGGAACCCAAGTATGTTGGTACAGGTGTCATCTTACATGTGTGCCTTATGGCACCGCAAGGTATGTGTCTTCATCTGGGCTATATATGGGTGGTGAACGGTCTCACCAATACCCCTCCCTTACACTTTGCAGGTCCAAGCTGGCAAAGTCACCATCAGTGCACATGCAATCACATCAGTTACGTTGATACCACTGGTGCGATGGTTCTGGGAAGCTCACTACTCATTCCCACAGGAGATACTCTCACAACTCTATCATTTCAACCATCTACCTGACAATTGGACCATCCGTTGTCACACACCAAAGGTGTTTGGTGAGGTGGACATGGATGTAGCTGATGAATGGAGGTGAAGACCATAGCCCTCATGTGAAGAAGGACAGCCAGCAATGTCAGCAGTCATCCCTCGCACAAGAACAGGTTGTCAGTGCCAAAGAAAAAGGAGGAGGCGAGTTAAGTGCCAATAAAATTCTTAAGCGCCCATGTACAGCATTCCAGTTTTTGACATATCTCCACCAATTCTGCAGACACCGAAACCATTCCCACACTCACTTGTAGTGCTCAGCCACGTGATCCTACCTTCCAAGATTGGAAAGGATTTGCACACTCCACACGTTTCTACAGCACTCCCTCCAAAAGACGCTCATTTTGCTAATTCTTCTGATATGGCTGCCTCCACATCAGTCGTTTTGCTTGTCCCCTTTGCTAGGGACCATGGCTACATATATCTACCAGGAGTTCCTACCAGCTTCTGTCCTGAAGCATCCTGGTACATCCCACCCTCATCTGCCCCCTCTCAGCCCATCCAGCTTGGACAGCGTGTTCTTTTTGTCAGTATGACCTCCAGGAGGACGTTCTTTGGTCACCTCAGGTCTGTCATTCGCTTGGAAAGGTCTTATGTGGTTGTTTCAGTCTCTCTGGTCCAAGAAGCATATGGATCCTTCCTCCCTGCCCCCTGCAACATCTTCATACCAGTCTCGTCCATCATTCTTCCAAAATTGCAACAGCTACAGTATAATCTACTGTTCTCCACTCTCCCTGATCACATCCATGACAAGTATGATGCACATCTTGCCTCCTTGTTGCAAGATACAGCAGAAGACACTCCCCCTTCATCCTCTCTTCCAACAGAGCCTCGTTCATGAAGTTTTTATTTGCTTCACTGAGAGGATGGTTTGGGGGGGAAAGTTGTGATCCCCTATGCTCCTGTCACCCCACAGACCCCCAAAGCTTGACCCCTGTTGACATCTGACTCACCCTGTCCACTTTTGGATGTACTATATTGGCATCAGATCAGCGCTGCCTCTCTGTCATCCCACTTTGGCCTAGAAGCGATCTCTTCAAGATGTGACATGCACAGCCTCCCCCTAATGCGATTCCAGTGCACTTTCCCAGTTCCTGACATTGCTTGACTCATACTTTGACATTCTGACTGTCTTTGACTCACCTATTGCCAATACTTACCAATCTTTTGACTTTGCTTACTGATTCTTCGCTTTTTGGCTTACTTATCCTTACCAATGCTTACCAATGCTTTCCAAGATGATTACCCATCGCTTACATTCCTTACTCATCAGTTACCAATTGCTTACCAAGTGTTTACACCTTGTTTTCCATAGGCAACGCCCCTGTACTGTATATAAGTCACTGTACTTAGGTAGCAAAAAAAAGACATCAGAGAGCCCCTCTTGCTCGCAATTTATCATCTCTCAGTAAATCATTCATCAGCTTTGATAGTTGAGACTTTATTAAGGGTCTAGCTATCATCTACCTCGCTTATCATCATCTATCATCCATATACTTCACTCCAAGCCCTCCCTGAGCTCAGTACAGCTTAGGACATCGAATTAAGTCACCATCCATCCTTCTGTAGGCTGACAGCAGTCTACCCTATCACATTCTTGCTCCCTCTTCGTCAGGAGCACCCCCAACCCTCAGCACTCACCTTTGAGTGTTGTAGCTCGCAAAAAAACCCTCCCAAAGAACAGGTTCTACCATCTAGGTACTGCATAGGCACACCACCACTCACTTTCATTGTCTTTTGTGTTGGTTTTTGGTTGGTTTTCACCACTGAACCACACTTTGACTCACATCTGGAGCCCACTGCAAGGGGTGGTCATTCCTGGATCAAGAAAAACCTTAATCTATCGCTTTTCCCATCCCAACTCCTATCTTCCTTATCTCATCAAATCTTGCCTGTAAATCCACCATATATCTCGCTTCTATGTCATCTGCTACCTCTGCTATTTATCCACCCATGCCTCCAGCAGCTCCTCCAGCTGTTGCTGTTCCTCCTGCTCACTCTGTCCTTACTTTGCCCTTGCTTGGCATGAAATCTGCTCCAGAACTCTTCCAAGGAGATCATACCCATGTTTGCACTTTCCTGGATCACTATGAGCAACTCTGTGCTTTCCATAATGTCAGTTCTGACCAGGAAATGGTCGAGTCGATCCTCCAGTACTGTAATGCTTGGGTTAGGGAGATTATTGAAGGAATGGCACACTACTATGCTCCTAACTGGGCTAACTTGAAGGCTGATCTCCTCAAGTACTTCGATGCTGATCTGTCAGATGAAAGGTTCTTTGAAAGGCATCTCAAGAGCTTCACTTTGGAGTCTAGGTTACAGCCCATCATGTCGCTTCAAGACTTTAGGGCTTACAATCGTGGTTTCATTCACATTGGTGGTTGGTTGAAGAACAAGGGAAGGATCTCGGTTGATGAGCACAATCGCTACTTTTGGGCTGGTTTGTCCCCTGTTTTTCGTAGCCTGGTCGAGAGCCGTCTCAGGTTGAAGGATCCGAACCTTGATACCAGCAAGCCCTTCGCTTATGCAGATGTATGCCAGTCTGCTGAAGAAGTCCTTCATCGTGATCGCTTTGATGCAGATGATCTCGATTTCCTTGGCCCCAGAGCTGCACCTAATGCTCCTCAGCCCCAGAATAGCACTTCTCATCGCTCTGATGGCAGAGATGATAGTGTTCGACCTTTACTCCCTGCTCATGAAGCCAGAAGAAACCTTGAAACTTTGGAGAGAGAAGCTCCTACTGCTTGCAAACAGGATGAGGTCAAAACTTTGATCAAATCCCTGTCTCATATGTCGCTTAGTGACCCAGACTACTCCCTCCTGTATTATTGAGCCATTAAAATGGATCCTGATGCTGCAAAGGTCCTTCATGCTCCATCTCTTTGTCCTGCTCCTGCTCCTGCTCCTACTGCTGCATCTGCTGCTCCTGTTGCTACTCCACCAGCTCAGACCCATCCTGCTAGAAGGACCATCACTTGTTATGGATGTGGTGTTGAAGGTCATGGTCTTGATAATTGTGAGGCAGTTAATGATCTTGTTCAGAAAGGTTCTTTGGCACATGATGAGAATTGTCAAGTTATCTACCCTAATGGGCAGCATATTTATTGCAATGGAGAAGAGACTATCCTCCAGGCCTATGAGTGCACTCTGGCTGCAGCCCAGCCTGCCAATGTGGTTCGCTTTGTTGTCCATGAAGATGTCAAAGAAGAATCCAGTGCTGAGATCTATGAGTTGAAAGATGAACCTCTCATTGCTGCTGTGGATCGTTCCACCAAGATTACCAAGGAGAAAAGAAAGGCTGCCTTTGACAGTGTTCTTATCCCACCTCGTTCGCATGGCAAGGAGAAGGAGAACCAGATGCCAAAGCCTTCATCCTCTGCATCCATCTCTGCTCCACAGAGAGCACCACTTGCTCCTGTCTTCGTTCCAGTTGATGTTCATGCCCCTGCCTTTGATGGGACCAGAGATGATGCCATCATGGAAGATGATTCTGTCCCAAAGCCATCAGAACAAGCCCCTGACTCTGCAGAAAAGCCCAAGAAGTCAAAGCCTGCTGCTACCACATCCCTATCTTCATCCCTCTCGCAATCTGCCAGTTCCGAGGCCATTGTAGATCAGATTCTTTTGACTCCCTTGACAGTATCAGTTGGGGAGGTTATTGGCACTTCCAGGGATGTTTCTCAGCACCTCCAGGAACTGATGCGATTCAAAAGACAGCCACTGATGCAACAGCCTGTCAAATCTGTGACAGCTGTCAATGGAACTCCCCCTGTGGCTTCTTATCTTGCATTGACATCTAGCCCCTTGATCACCATCAATCTCTCCTGTAATGGTCGATGGGTGACAGGTGTCATTGACTCTGGATCAACCCTGAATGTTGTCAGATCAGGTATAGCTCAGTCTGTCATTTGCATGCCCATTGATATGTCACAAACTGTCAATATGCGAGATGCAAAGGGGGGTATTTCGACACTGAAAGGCCTGGTACAAGATGTCCCCCTCTTCTGTGGTGCTGCCAAGACTTGGACCAATCTTTTTGTTGCCCCAGACACCAATGCTGGCTTTGATCTCCTCCTAGGTCATCCTTGGGCCCTTGGAAACTCTGTTAGCATTGTGGAGAGAGAGTCTGGGACCTTTGTTGTCTTTGGAGCCGATTCAGAGTGACCCCTGGAGATGTGTGTTACTGAAGGTCAGCTTGGAACTGTTGCAGATACACTTATGGCGACTCTGGAGCCTGCCCAAGCTCAGGAAAGTGTTGATGAAGGCATGATGGATGTATCAGCTGGTACTCCTCATCGAGTTTCCCCTATAATCTTCGCTCCACCCCCATCAACTTCACAGTCACCCCCTCAGTTGCTTCATTCCACCCTGCTGTACCCTGAGTCAGTTGCAGATGGGTTTGATGTCACTTCAGCATTGCCTGCCTTCCAGCCCATCCCAGTTCATACCTTTCCACCTCCTTCAAGCCCCTTTCCTTCAGAGTTTGTGCATCAACTTCTGCAAGAGTTGGAGTCCACTGAGACAAGTGGATTGGAGCATAACCATGTCATTGCCAGGATTTGCCAGAGGATCAGGTTTGAAGAGCGCCAGTCACTTGCTGCCCTGCTCACCAGTCTCTCCCATCGCACTCCCAATTTATCACCCCTTTATCTTGACTCAAACCATGCTCTTGCTGGAGAAAGGGGTACTGATGAATCAGGCAGCTACTTCCAGGACTTCCTGATGCTCCAAACTCGCTTAATCCAACAGGTTCCTGCCCCTGTTGACCATTATCATGAGGTTGAAGGGTCTGCTTATGTCCGGTTCTATCCCCATTTCATTCCAGAGCCATCTCCAACTCAGCACAGCGAAACACCACCTCAGGAACTGCCATCTGACTTAGATCCACCTGCTTCACCTGTATTAATGAATGGCATCACTGCTCCACCTCAAACTCCCTCTCCTTCATCACCAGAACCCGTCATTATCTCGCAGGAAGAGCCCAATGAAGCTTCCCATCACACTTCCCTCCTGTTTGCTGAAGATACTGTGACTCCAGACTCTGAGGCT